AGTACAAATACTTGTGTGTGTATATATATATTCTATATATTTAGTCTTAATGGAGTCTTTTGCTCGCTTTTCTATTGTTTGCATATATTTTTTGTTTCTTTTGTTTTATTGTTATTTTATTTTATTTTAAATTTTTTTTAATGGCAACGATGCGATTTCAAGTCTTTTCGTTAAACAGTTTTGGAATTGTTTTCATTTTCACTTTTGTTTTTATCAATAGATTTGTCTTTTGATCTGGCGTTACATATTTGATTTGATTTGATTTATTTCGTCTTTTGTMTTTCTCTTTCGTTTTATTGATCATTTTACGCTTAGTTCTTTATGTTGTAATTTAACAAAATACTCGCTTGATTGACTTACGCATTAAACGTCTCAGTGTTTAGTACAGTCTATATATTATCCTTCTGCTTCTTCTTCATGTTGCTCTTGTTCTTGTTCTCTATGTGTCATGGTCACGTTTTACTATCGCACAAAAAGGAAGACTAGAAGAACGGAATCCACAAACAGACGAGTAAAATTACTTCAGCCGGCAGTATCCGACTTGTGTATACCCTGAACCCAGAATCCCGAGCCGAGCTGCTGCTGACTCACTCATGTCGGACTTAGACTTTCTGCAGCAACTGTACTTGCCCTGTATCCCTGTTTAAACTTGGTTTCTCGATACAAGATCTGAATGAAATTTTTAAATATGAATATGATAGCGAAATCGGCTGCTGTGGAAAATGAGTTTTATCTTTTATCTTGAAGAGATCTGAAGGAAATGCGCTAAATTCATAAACTGTGTAACTAAAGCAAGTTTGCCTATCAGACATAGCTTGATTGATCAGGCAATCTATACATATATATCTATATTCAAGGGTTCAGTCACGCCTGCTTTTGCCACATACAAAGTATACCCTTTGCACCCATTTCTAATGGGTTCAGGATAACGAACCAAGGAAAACGTCTGTCAAAAAAGCGAATTGTTTCAAAAACTGTCCTCTAAATATGCTTTCAAATACATAATGTAAAGAAGGTTTATATATGTCTCTGTGGGTATATAAGTGTGATGTAATGTGAGACTGTATGTGTGTGTGTGTTGGGCCCGGCTGAGCTGCTTCGCATGTGCCAAAGCGAGAGAGAATTAATGCAAAGCAATTTACTAACGAAAACCTATTGATGTAGATAAACATATAGATATATATCCATATATATCTGCATCAATATAATATATAGAGAGCACACTTGTAATTAACTGAGAGGTAAACAAAAAAAAACAAAAAAAAAACTAAAAAAATATACATGTAGTTCATGTAATATAAAATCTTGTCACTAACTTTCGTCTCCTACTTTATATCATTATCAACAGCATATATGGCCACGAACTTATACATACGTATGTATATATATATACTT